AAAAAATCTTTTCGTAAAACTTACATCGATGACGTCATAATCTACAAATCTACAACAGATACCTTGCAAACCAAGGGAAAAATTTTGTAGATTTGATAATTATTTTATGTAGAAGTGAGCTTTGCCATTCTTGTCTTGTATATTTAGGATATTTCGTGGGAACTGGTAAATTTAAACCCTTCAGAGTTAAGATCAAGGCCATCTCTGGATTCCTAGTGCCTATCAGTTTTTTCATCTCCATATTTTAATCGGTCATTTAAGGTGTCTGTTGATGCACCTTCACATGCATCAAAGTACTATATTGCTTTGTGTTGTATCTATGTTGAATCATCATAAGACATAATTCTGTGCAATTTTAATTATATGCATTTTTTGACTAATATGTAAAAGACAGTTTTATTGTATAAATCTTTCTTTTTTACTTTATTATGAGAGATGATATGTATGTATATATGTATGTATGTGTGTATGTATGTATGTATGTATGTATGTATGTATGTATGTATGTATGTATGTATGTATGTATGTATGTATGTATGTATGTATGTATGTATGTATGTATGTATGTATGTATGTATGTATGTATGTATGTATGTATGTATGTATGTATGTATGTATGTATGTGTGTGTGTGTGTGTGTGTGTGTGTGTGTGTGTGTATGTATGTATGTATGTATGTATGTATGTATGTATGTATGTATGTATGTATGTATGTATGTATGTATGTATGTATGTATGTATGTATGTATGTATGTATGTATGTATGTATGTATGTATGTATGTATGTATGTATGTGTGTGTATGTATGAATGTATGTATGTATGTATGTATGTATGTATGTATGTATGTATGTATGTATGTATGTATGTATGTATGTATGTATGTATGTATGTATGTATGTATGTATGTATGTATGTATGTATGTATGTATGTATGTATGTATGTATGTATGTATGTATGTATGTGCTCTATGGTCTTTTATTAAGTACTAGAAAAGAGCGAATACAACAAGTTTTATAAATATAAACATATAATTTATTTCTTAAATACAAGTGAAAATTTAAAAACAACTTACAGTATTGCTTATTAAATCCCAGAATAGTCTAAAATGTTATATCAACAGTTCTAATGAATAAATTTCTAATTATATTCCAGTGGTGTTCGGATCAAGATCCAGCGCTGAAGACGTCAATGTGCCAGTAGTTTTGAATAAACTAATGTAACAGTAGCCTGAAGTGTGATTATGTACTAAGTCTTTTGATGAATCGGAATAATATAGTCCAATATGTCCTTGTCTGAATCCAATATAATTCCAAATGAATGTGCGGGTGAGGGTGCGTGTCCAAAACTATTATTTAAGAGCACTTTATATTTCCAGTGAATAATAATTTCAATAAAAAAATTTCACCCAAATTAAATAATGAGCACAACAATGAGATTGATTCTATTAGAAAATGATAAAGCATATTAATGAGTAATTTCTCAAGTAAACAAGTTTATATTTTTTAAAAAATCGAAGACACAAAGAAAAACCAGAATGAGGGTCAAGGTCATTTCTATAAAATTCTGATCCGTCAACAAGATCATTATTAGCTCTGTATTATTTATTTACCAAAACAAAATTTATTATCCAGGTGGTGAATCCAGTATGATTTTTTTAAACAGCCGTTCCATTTCTGAATTTACGATATCAACTGCCTTATTTAAAAATCTTGTAAATTACATAAGCAGTCATTAAAGTGTGTAGGGTCAATAGATACATATGAAGGATGGATTAAGTGGTTTCTGTCAAGCATGTTTGTTCATGTGTGTTATACTTGCTTATGGGCTTGGACAATATATGTATTTGTATAAGTTATGAAATATAAAACAATAGACGATTCGTTGTTTGCGCCATAACGCATATACAAAAGATATCATAAAACAATCCACTCAATAAAAACAAATCAGCAAACTAATTAAAATTCCTTTCTTTTTTCACATTTCATGCATTTTATCCTCGGTTGCAATTTTGCTGCATGCCTTTACTCTTGCGTCTCCTCTTCTTTTTTTTATAAGATCAGTCATTATGTTCTTGTATTGTTTAAATTGTGATTCAAACGTAAAAGACTTGTTAACAATGTTCTCGTCGTGATTTTACGAATAAAATAAGTTCTTTTAAAAATAAAAAAAATTATTAGAACCAGTTATGGTATGAACGGGATTTCATCGCTTACTTAAATAAGTACATGTAGGGAAAATCAAAATCTATATTTTACCTTGAATAGATTTTCTTCACGGCTGAGTGAACTTCCTAACATTATGTGTGTCAAATTGCCCAATACTACAGTAATATACATGCAGCGGTAATATCCAGCGGAAGTATGTCTATTAAAATATATATTTGTCTTAATATATTATTGCTTTTGTTATATTTATGTGGAACTTATATTTATACCGTACATTGTTTAATATACTAGCAATAATAAATAAATAACATACTAAATATGAAACTGGGGTCCTGTAAAATTCATATTTTTTACGATATCTAACGTCTTTATTCTGCGATCTGTTTTTTTTAACCCATATTTATAACTGGATTTCAGTTAGAAGATTTAGCCAGAAAAATGAAAATATTTAACCTACTGCAATGTACGCCCAACGCATGTAGGAGAAAGAAGAGGATAACCCCGAAGAATTTTTTTCTTGAAAAAAATCGAGAAAAACAAAACCAAGAAGAAAAAAAACTTGGATAAAATACAGAACATTTCTGAAATTCTTTCTTTGTACATACACACAAGAAATTGACAAGAAGAATTTATGCAAACAGTTAGATGGTTACAAGGTGTTGAAATTTATAAAAAAAAATCAAGTGTATTCTCTAAAAATTGATTCAAGATAGTTAAATATGTATACCGGATGCAAAAACGTTTAAAATATAAAGTCGTTGGCCTAAATGTTTGTATTATATCCTTCTGGATACTGCCTGTTGGACACTATCCTTCTAGATACTACCTTATGGACACAATCTTTCTGGATACTACATTTTGAACACATCCTTCTGGATACTACCTTTTGGACGCCATCCTTCTGGATGCTACACTTTGGATACTATCCTTCTGGATGCTACCTTTTGGACACTATCCTTCTGGATACTACCTTTTGGACACCATCTTTCTGGGTACTACCTTTTGGACATTATCCTTCTTGATTCTACTTGTTGTATATCCTATGTGTGTTATCTGTTGGATTTTATCTTCTGTATGCTATCTTTTAGAAATTATCATCTTGATATTATTAGCTAGAAAATATCTTAATATTATATCTTCATATTATCTTTGGATAAAATCTGTTGCATCCATTCTTCATGATATTATGTGCTATATATTATCTTTTTAATACTATATTGTGGCTATTATCTCTCGGGTATCACCTATTTGACATTATCTTCTGAATATCATCATCTTACTTTCTGATTTTTGTTAGGTATTATCATCCAGATATTCTCTATTGGATACTATCTTCTTTATACAACCTGTTGGATATTATTGTCTGGTTATTAAATGTAGGTTGTTATATTCTGGACATCACCTATTGGATATTATCTTCTAGATAATGTATGCTATAAAACATCAGTTTGATATTTTCTTCTGTATACCGCCAGCTAGATATTGTCAATTTACTATTATATCTCGGATATAATCCCTGTGATATATGATTGATATTATATTATGCATGTTGTCTTCTGAATATTATCTATAGGATATTATATTTTGGATTGTATGTTGTTTAATATTATCTGTTGGATATTCCCTTCTCATGTTTGTTGGAGATTATGTGTTTGATTTTATCTTCTGTATATTATCATCTGCTGGATCTCATCTGTTTGACAGTATCTGCTTGACATTATCTTTTGGATAGTTGTCTACTGGATATTATCTTTTGTACATGATCTGTTGGTTATCATCTTCTGAACATTATCTGCTTGGGTATATTGTGTTTGATTGTATCTGTTATATAGTACATGTTGGATATTTTTATGGATTTTATTTGTTGGCTATTACCATCTGGATATTATCTAATGTATAACATCTGTTGGATATTATCTTCTGAATATTACCTTTTGGATATTGTCTACTGTATATTTTCTGATGAATGTTAATTTCTGTTTATTCATCTACTGGATATATTTTCTCGCTATTATTATTACTAATATTTACTGTAATTTATTATTTTGGGTTTATTCTGGATAATATCTACTAAAAATTATCTGTTGGATATTATCTTCAGGATGACAACTTTTGGATATTATGCTCACGATAGTATGTTATCGATATTATCTATTCATGTTTTCTTTTGGATATTATCATCTAAGCATTATCTGTTGGATATTATCTTCTGAAAGATATTTTCTGCATATCACACTCTTAATATTTTGTTCTCAATATTATCAATTTGTGTTTTCTTCTGGATATTATCTCTTGAATATTATCTTCCAGTATCTCTTGGATATTTTCAGTTGGATATTATTTTCATTGCTGGTGGTTTTCTTCTGCAAAAAGAAACGTCGAAATAGCCGAAAAGGTGAGTCTAAAAAGCAAAAGCCTACATAGTTGACGAAAGTGAAATAGTGTTTATCAGTCTGAAAAAAGCGATAGCCAAAATATCTGAAATAGCCGAATGATGTGATCAGTATTTTATTTGTTATTTTTAAATCATTGAAAGCTATATCATAGTGACCTAGGATTTTAAAAAAATATTACGTGATGGATATGGTAAAAGGTCGGTGTATATGGAGAATTATTATTAATCGAAACAAGTGAGCCGGGGCATAAATAGGTCGAATTATTCATCCTGTCGCGCATGACAATTAAAGCAGAGGACTATTACGAATTTCAAGAGACAAATCTAATAGTTAACTTTTGTTTGATAACAATATTTATCTTGCACCAATGGCAACATAAAACTTGAGGTAATGACATATCTCATGCTTCACAAACTTTCAATACTATGTTTAAATGTGCTTGCTTGTTTCAGTGGTTAGAGCGTTCGCCTCGAATGCGGGAGGTCTCGGTTTCGAATCCAAGCTGAGTTTTACCAAAGACTTATAACAATGGTAATAATAGCTGTCTCGCTAAGCGCTCAGCATTCAGAGGTTAATAATGGGACTGGTTGACCTGGTGTCGGGATAATGTGACAATGGAACATCATGCTACATGTCTGCGGCATGGTGCCCCAGTACTAGACATTGCTATAAACTGCCACACTGCAAACATCATAACGATACAACTGAAATTTTGTAAAGCTACGTTAAAACTCCATATCACACACACACACACACACACACACACACACATACATACATACATACATACATACATACATACATACATACATACATACATACATACATACATACATACATACATACATACATACATACATACATACATACATACATACATACATACATACATACATACATACATACATACACTTTGTTCATTTCCATTAAGCAAAAACATTATTTTCTGTCAGGAAAAATTAAACAGATTCGAAATGTATGCTGTTTGCTCATGTCGATGAAAAATGACACATTAAGTGGTTTGTTCATTTTCGACACATTATCGTACTCAGAATTATGCACTTTTATTAATGTTATCCCCACAAAGAACCAACAAGTCCTAAAAGACTGATAAAGTGACTCGATAACTACATCTGCTTTCGGATCCACATCAAACATTCAGGAGTGATACTCTAAATAGCATTTGCCATAAAACTTCCTAAACAGCGGATGACGAATTAATCTTGAAGGGTTATGCATATTTGTTGTCCTAATGGTTGTTTAGACTACAATCTAAGTTGGAATCCCACCGGATGCATCGAACATCACGTGATAGAATATAGAGTCGTACCCACACAGAAATGTGATAGACTAATACAAGTTTTGTCGCATCTTGTCTGTAGGATTTTACTATTTCCACTATCTTACATTATGGAACTGATTTGGAGCTTGAATTTATTCTACTGAACAGTCGCACGCTTACCTACACACACTCACACTCAATCGCGCTCATGTATAGTTGTTGTGCATGAATTTACATGTCATAAAACATTCACCCCCAAAATTACATTACATATTGCATTCTATATACTAGAATAACAATGACAAACTCAGCAGATAACACAATTTTAAGAGAGAACACCTATGCCCCTTTGAGATACTTATGAAGCCGATATGTATGATACATTCTCTCGAGTCATCATGTGAACATTACTAATTTAGCATTTCTTTGGGCAACTAACATGACTTAATGTTTTTTTTTATTGAATACGTTTTCATTTTATATTTTATATCAATAATACATTTGAAGAAAATCTCAAGTTGCATGTAGACACCCAAATAAAACATACACCAAAAATAAAAATGAGGTATAATAGATAAGGCGAAGAAATGGTAATTCCTTTTTATACGCATATCATAATCATCCTTGTAACGGTGTTAATATTGTTTGAATGCAGGAATACAAATATTGATTCTTTTTATAGTTGGTCACAACACTGTCTGAATGCGGATATTTATATTGAGCTTTTCTGTTGATCATCATATTTTAGCGTCATGAAATGTACGAGAATGTAATGCAATACATCATGATCGCAACATATTTTTTTTTCTTCCGTTAACAATGTGCTGGATATAGCGTGCTGTTTTTCCACAGTCTTGATAATGAAAAATGTTCAATCGTATTTACTGATTAATTTTATCTTTTTTGGTTTACCTTAAGAATATTTAATCTTATTTACCGATTAATTAAATTTTAATTTATTTTTTGCGATTCTTTTTATCTGCCAAATATTGCAAAAATTGTATGCTTTTTACTAAGTGTGTTTATTTCATTATTGGTAAAGTCATTAGCTTGAATTTCATTCAAAGTATTTTCAAACTTTTCTTTACATTTCTTTCCACGATATTGACATTCACGCATTATGATTTGGACAATAACGTCTCTTTTTCTTTCTGACCCTAATATTTTTCTTCACTTTCTACGTATAGAGTAGATTTTGGAATGTAAAATTTTAAAACAAATGTAAGTTGAATATTAATCTCGGTAAGATGTAAAATTAAATTAGCTTAGTATACTACAAGGAATATACAACGAATATACAACGAATATACAATGAATATACGACAGCTTTCTTTGCAGGTGTGATGTCTATGCAAAAGTTCAAACACGTGAAAAGGTGCGAATTTATTCATAAAGAGGGTACAGTCATTTTCTAACATTAGATAGAATCTCAAAACTAAATGTATTCCAAGAAAATAAAAGCTAAGATAGAGCATAATTTGAGATACTCATCCGACTAAAAGACATAATGTGCAACTACAACTATATTCATCATTGAGGATATTCTCCATTTATCAGACATTTTATTTTAATTTGGTAGTCTAAGTTTATTCTTTATGCGCATATAGTTTTAAAGGAAAAATGCCAGCATAAAGGACTGCATACAATTGCTCAAAACAAGAGTGTAAAGGGATCAGGAATTTTTGTCTTCGATTCCCTAGCTTACGGCAACTTGGATTCAGAAGCTGAGGACTTAAAAGTGACTGAGCATTCAATATTGAGCTCATTTCATTTAAAGCCCACCAAATTTTGAAGAACGTGGATATGTTGACAAGAAGACTTGGGCACCAAAATCCTTGACCTCCATTAATTTTTCATTACGCTTTAAAAAAGAAAGAACGAAGATCATATGGCTACATGAGATATGCTGGCGAGCTCGATGGGGTAACTACATGAATAAACGGAAGTCGAAAGTACGACCATAATCATCATTATCATCGTCGTCGTCATCGTCATCGTCATCATCATCATCATCATCATCATCATCATCATCATCATCATCATCATCATCATCATCATCATCATCATCATCATCATCATCATCATATTTATCGTGCTTTGTCTTCATTGAGACAATATATCAACACTAATTTCATAAGGAAACCGGAATCTATAATATACATCCAGGCCCAGCCCTAGGATGTGCGGGGCCCAAGGCTGCAAGCGGTGAGCGCGGGGCCCCAAGCAAACAAAATTGTATTGCGGAGAAGCGCGAGACCCAAGAAGGCTGCCTTGTTCGCCTTGCCCTAGTGCCGGGCCTGTGTACATCGCTCTTTTATAATAACCGGATCAGTTAATGTAGCAGCACCATTACTGTAACGTAGGAGTTTTTTCACCTTATTGTTTTGTAACATCTCTCAATAAAACGTTCACGTCCAGTTTCAGCTCATGCGTTTTTTTAATATCAGTAAACTTGAATATGCATCAATTCGAACTGTACGTTCCCGTCGTCAAAGGTTTTCTTTCAATTCTGAACCATAAAATCACCATATGCGCAGTGAGGGATATTTCATCTTAATTGTTCCTGTAGATAGTAATCACTATTAAAAGGTTTAAATTAAGAGGATTCAAGTGACGAAATACAGCTGTCCATAGGTGATCAGTGAAAAAATATAAGCTTATGTTCAATAAAGACGTTTATTTCATATGCAAAATATTTGGTACTTGTGTTTATAATTTTTGTATTTAAACCTGACAATGATTTGCATGGCCGAAGTACGTTTTTATTTTAGATACATAATCCAAAACATATTGATAACAGAAATAATATTTGGGGAGTTGTTTTACTCCATGCTATTTCGGTTCCATTAAATGGGAGATGCTTGTTTCATTGCGATTCTTACTCGTTATATATGCAGTTAAGCAAAGGAATTTTTATTGTTAACGTTTTAAAATATGAATTTTTCATTCAGATTTACACGTTATGCTATTCGTTGTCTGGCTTTATCCATACAGACTTAAAAAGCAAAAATTATTATTATCTTTTGTCCACCATTATCGCTTCCTATGGATTTTCTTTCACTCGGGATCAAGTATATTTCATATACGAGATGAAACAGAAATAGATGCATATAGCTTTCCATCTTTAATCCTACACAAAATTAATTACTTGGTATTGGGTGAGTTTCATGTCGAAATCAATAGATGCAATTTCTCTCTCATAAATGGATATTTGCTCAATGCTAGATCTCGATGTTATCATGAAACATCCTTATAGCATAATATCCTATTGGCTGTCTGCAAACATATAAATACATACAAAAATATTAATCCCAAAATGTAGTAATGGCAGACACATATTAAACAATCCGTGGTAGAGATCAGTATCGTCAGCTTATCCTGTCTGATCAAATGAGGTTCCATTAGTGAACTTATCAGTTCCATTATCATGAACCACTTAGGGGATGGGGCAGTATATATTTTTGTGCAGTGTACAGCATGATTTGATATTGACATTTTTATTTTATACAAATTTTCCAACAGAACTAATCATTTTCCATTAATCTTATAAAGATATCTATATAACATACAAGCATTTTCAGTTCAGGATCACCATAGTCCACAAAATATTTATTTAAAACAGGATGAGGTCGTGAAGTTCGAATGAAAACGTTTACGGTTCGACCATAATGGAGTAGTACTTTATAAGGGGATTTCTAGACCCAAACCCTATTTTGTATTGGACGACAACATATTCATCATATACCTCAGATGATATATCTTTATTGCTAACATCATCAAAAAAATTCTATTGATCACAGGAATTGAAGGATAAAAAATCGTTGGTATTTTGGCGACATCATTCACTTTATTTTGGTAAAGATCTTTTACCCAATCAATGAAACATAAAACTAATCTTAAATCATTAATCTTAATATTATTACGCACAATATGTTATGTAATCACTACATATGATGATGCAAAAGACAATATTCAACGTTTATTAGTGTCCAAGTTCATGTTATTTGCAAGTTTAGATATCCAACAATCAAATCTTTTATATTTTTATATTTTGTTTATGTCAGCAGCTTTCCAGCTTCGTTTTTATCGCTTATCAATAATATTTTTTTTTCTCAAGATCATGATCAGATATATCGTAATCAACAGTTTTAATAGTATTATTAATACTTGTTATGTTAACGAGTGTTTGATAAAAAAGGCCTCTTTCAGCATCGCTGTATAACTCAA